TTAAAAAAAATTCTCAAAATTTCAAAGTAAACGCGTTTTCCATTTTTATGTTTTCGGAAACAGTTTTTCAGAATGGGAAAGAGAACGCATTTTCAGAAATTTCAAAACAGACACTCAAAACACAAAACACAAAACGAATTCAAAACTCAAAACACAAAATTGAAACACAAAGAGAACGGCACCTAAGTGATTTGATCGATTATCAAGAATTTATAGATAGTACTAGCCAAAACAAGGGCGAATTTTAGAGGTCGAGTTGTCTTGTGGATATGATACGACATCGTAGTTGGAAATCGAATTTTATGTAGGATAAGGGAGTTTTGATTGCATCACGTGAACTAGCGAGGAATAATTAGTGAACCATCAACATGATTGGATAATTTCAGTACTGTCCCATACGCCACGCTCATTTTTTTATTTTCCAAATTATGATCATGAATCGGCTTGTTAAACTATGAAATGAATTATTTCTGTCACGATATAATAATTGTGTTAAGTATAAGGTCCCGTTTGACCAATTTTAATGATTGTAATAATATTTTTTTAGAAAAATATATAAAAATTAAAATTACGTGTAATATTATTTTATTGAAAAATGTGTCGTTGATAAGAGTCAGTAATAAAAATGAATTATATTTTAAATGGAGCAAATATGGGCTAAATTATAATGAATTCTACCTGGTTGCGATGACAAATATTTGGTTACATTTTATGGACTAAGATCCTGATTGTTACTATTTTTTGTAGCTGGGTTTATTTTTTCTTGTAGACTTTCTTTTTATCAATTTCCTTGTTTATATTGAGTTAATTTAATCTGGCTGACTCCTAACCCGTTTTAAAAATCAAAATTATTATCTAATAATATGGACTTTTCTCGAGTTGACTCACAACTCGTATTAAAAATTAAAATTATTATGTAATTATACTTTTTTTTTTAAACGAGAAGAGTTTGATTTGAAATAAAATCGATGTTAACGGTTTGTACCTATAATTTTTGGAGTTTGAGATGAACTTTAAAAATTGGGCTCTCAAATTGTAATATGCATTTTTTTGAAAAAAATAATTGGCACTTCTTACTTCTGCGCGACTTGAATTTTTCTTTTCTTCTTGAAAGGGGTTGGTGGGAATGCTTTGACCCATTGGGAATTTTAGATCGATTGAATTAGGCGCGTGATGGATAGGTAATGGGTTTAAATTGGGTTCCCATTGAGCTTGAGCTTGATGTCACGGACCGCATGGTAGTGACACGAGATTGGGCATGACACGGGAATGTCATGG